CCCCAAAACCCCAAAACCCCAAAACCCCAAAACCCCAAAACCCCAAAACCCCAACATGAGGGAATAAGATTGAAAAACGAAGAAATTATTATAAAATCTAGTTATTTTTTCTTGAGTTCATGTCTTGCATCCATTGGTTGTTCCCCTGCATCATTTGTTGCATTTGCTCAGGAGTCATGCCTTGGTTGTTGCCTTGGGGGTTTTGCCCATTAGAGTTATACATAGAGTAGCCGTAGGAATATCCGTTGTTCATCCCATTGCCTCCTAATAAATATTAACTAAAATTTACCTCCAGGTGTCGATTGATTCATGTTTTGGTACCCTCCCATCATTGGGTAAGATCCCATTTGCGTGTTCGAGGCGGAGAAATTGTTGGAGTCGAAGTTCGAGCCAGACCCACCTGGCTGTCCTGAATTTCCTCCATTCATCATTCCATACCCAGTTTGGTTATTTGAGTTATTCTGGGCCTTTGAAGACTCTTGCTGGGAAGGATATCCTTGGCCTCCATTTCCAGAGTTCTGCATCGGATATTGAGTGTTGTTTGCAGCATAATTGTTGCCTGAATTCCTACAAGATCAAACAGTCTAGCTTACATATTCTGGTTGCTCCCTTGGGTGTTACCTGTAGCTCCATAGTAACCATTGTTGGCGCTCATTCCATTCATCATGGAGTTACCGCCCATCATGTAGGAGTAAGGGTCGTTGTAGCCCTGATTCATCTGAGTCTGCCTGCTATTCTGTAAGGCAAGAATTTGAGCTAATAGCTCTGGAGGTGGCCTAGGCTTATTACAATGAGTTCAGACACCTCCAGGTCCTTCCTTTGCTCCTCCTCATCCCCCAGATTTTTGAGGGACTTGAGTGTTGCTCTATTTAAAAATTAGATTGTATTTGGATAAAAAAAATCAGTGAAAATGGTTAAATTCAAATTCATTCAGAGCAACTAGGATGGAACCTAGGATGGAACCTAGGATGAAAACTAGGAAGAAAACTTAGCCTAGGAATATAGAAACAACTATGTTGTGAATCTCCCTCCCTGATTTACTCCAGTATTAATAGGCTGAGAAATGCAAGTTAGTCTAGGGCCAAGGCAATTTTCGACATATTTGCTCCATACTCGATTTTTTAGTGAAGCGATTACTAAGCTTTGAGGGATGTAGAGGCCATTATTGAGGCTAAGAAAGTATTTCTGAAGCAAACTTTCACTAAAATATTTCTGGGAGTACTAGTTTTTACTATCAATTGCGTAAACTACTAACATTTTTAAACACAAAAGTTTTATGAAATCTCCAAAAACCCGTGGTTGGTAATTTCTTAGAAGATGCTATTTAGTTTCGAATTCAAACAAGAAGGTGGGTTCAATTTAAAAGATGTTAGCAATGCCATTCAAGGGGCTTATTGCCTATCAGCTTTCACCAGCTAACTTCTTGGAGATTCCTGATGGATTTCGGTAGGAATGACCCAATAGTTAGAAATAACTGGTGACCTAAACCGATTTCATAAAATCCTATGTTAAGATTTATACTAATCTATGTGACCTAGTAGACAAGAATTTCAAGATTCTGTACCCCAGCATGAAGACTTATGCCCAAAATGCCCTGGCTTACTTGTCCTCCATTGGAGAAGTTCTGTTGGGCCATCTGGTTCTGGGGATACTGTGACCCCATCATGTTGTTCATGTTATTCAAATTAGAGCTTATTTGATTAACATTCGGCATTCCTTCCCCCATGGCGGAATTATTGTACATCTGTTGCATCATCATTTGCTGCATCATATAGTTATCCATCTGATTCTGACCTCCAGAGAAGTTATTTTGGTCTTGCTGGTGAAACTTATTCTTAGGATTATTGTCATCCTCCTCATCTTGTTCTGGATCATAATCTTCCTCTTCATTTTTCTGCTTCTTGTGCCTACGATCAGGCTTGTTTTCTTCATCAGAGAACTCATCGTAGTAGGAGGGGATTTCCTTTCGAGATCTTTTTCTCAGATTGTATTTTCCTTCGGGGTCTTCATCATTTTCTTTGGAATTTTCCTCAACATTTTTCTTAGTCTTACCATTTTGGTCTTTAGCATGAGCGGGTTGGCTATCAGGGATAATAGCACGGGTTAGGGCGTTTTCATCAAGAGCTCGGCCTTCTCCTCCTGTAATACCTTCCTTTTCAGGATTTTGTTCTTGAGTTTCCACCTTCTGCTCTGGAACATTTGGCTGATTGATTTCTTCAGTACCAGCTGGCTGTCCTTGGTTTCCATAAGTACCGTCAGGTACCTGTTGGTTTTGATCTTGAGAGTTGTTGTTGGGAATGAAGCTGCCTTCCTGATTTATATTTCCACCATTTCCAGAGTACATGGATCCACCCATGTTAGAGTTTTGAGGCATGTTTCCCATCTGGAACTGGTTCATGTAACTATTCATTCCATAGGGCATCATGCCTTGTGGGATTTGCATGTTAGCTCCAAGCATGTTAGGCATATTCATTTGTGAGTTTGCACTGCCGTCATTTTGCATATTCATCTTTTGGGGATCCTGCTGATTCGGATTCCAGTCATAATTGTTTTGGTTGTTGTTCATCTTTAATATTTGGACTATAATCTCAATAAGAAAGTCTTTATATGGGGTTTTGGGGTTTTGGGGTTTTGGGGTTTTGGGGTTTTGGGGTTTTGGGGTTTTGGGG